ATTTACTCCTTACAAAGAGACTCATAATTTTGATTTGATATTTTCCTTTTTGAAAGAAGGGACTGAATTTATCTGGGTCCACATAGAAAAGGCAGGTCCATTAAATACATCTCCATATAATAGCACTTTTAAAGATGTTTTCTTAAGTTTCCTAATACTACTAAATAACCAAGTTATAAAAAATAACTCTATGGGACTGAAAATAAGACTTTCCTTAAATGAATTAGTTTTTCTGGCAATGCATGCTGACCTTTTCTTTTTACATTGTAGTTTTTAAAAGGACATTTGGAAAATTTCTGAAAGAATATTCAAAACTGTTGTGTGCAAAGTTTTTTAGTTGTAGGAATGTAAATATTCTCAATCTAGCAGAATTAAGATGTCTTTGGGTACATTAACCAACTTGGCTTAAAGAATAAGGAAAAAGTATTACTTAGTATGAGAAGTCCCCAGCCCTGACTGGGTGGTTTGGTTGCTTGGAGTGTTGTCCATACACCACAAGGTTGCTGGTTTGATTCCTAATCAGGGCATATACCTAGGCTGTGGGTTCCATCTTCAGTCATGATGCATATGGGAGACAACCGATTGATGTTTCTCTCTCACATTGATTCTCTATAAAATCAATAAAAACCGATCCTCAGGTGAGGATTAAAAAAGCAAAGAAGTTGACACCAAATAAGAGAATATGATTAAGTCAACAACACAATTGTGGTATTAAAGACCCAGATTTCTTCTGTGATCTTGCTCTCTTACCCTCAGACTGGCAGCCAGGACTTCACAGCAGTAGGTGGACAGCCAGTACTCTTCTAGACTGTTATATGCAGATATGTGACAGAACAAGAGTGTCCTTTTCTTGTGTTTCTCTTAAAAAATGATGCTATTTTTTTTTTTTCATAAGCCCTCTTTTAACATTGATGTATTTACTGGACTTTCCTCTTTTATGTGAACCCAGAATAAATCCAGTCACTTTTTCAAAAAGGAAAAATAACAATACCTGATTGTTAAAAACCTCTCATTTGTTTACTCTTAGTTATAAGTAGCCATTGGATGGAGTCACTAGAACTGCGTTGCAATGAATAGGATACTTTCATGCAATTGGTCAGCATCACACACAGATGGATATTGAAACAAAATCAGTTTCTAGATCTTGAGCAGGAAATAATCTGTTAAGATGGTGACAAAAAGTTGTGTGTATGGACGTTTCTGACTTCAGAGCCTGCTCTCCTAACTCCTAATAACTTACATTCAATAAATGAAATTTCAAATAAATCAGTAAAAACATGATATAATATACAGATAATGTATTATAGAATGTCTATCTGAAACTTGTATAGTTTTATTAACCAATGTCACCCCAATAAATTAAAGTAAAAAAAAGGAAATACCAAAAAATATGTTTTAAAACTCTGTTTTATTAATTTCTAAAAGTAAAGAGAATTTCATAAGTAATATTTCCTGCATGGGTAGAATAACTTTATCATTTCTCCCAACGTATTTGAGGTGGTCTAATCTAGCCAGGTATTATACTAGTATAAGTATTCTTGTGTGTCAATGTGTATTCTACAGGCTGTTCATTCATGTATATAAAATAGTAGATAATTGCATTGGCTGACACATATTCATCTTAATATTAATGAAAATATTCTTATGTAATTATTATAAAGGTAAGGAATGACACAACTAAATTGCACTCTAATTGAAAATAGCATTGAATACACTTAATAAAGACTAACATTCCAGAGCATTAAATTTGAAAGCAGCTGCACAACAAATAGAGAACATATTCACGAATGAAAATGAAGTTCTTACTAAAGTGCCCTTTTTTCCAACAATGACAAAAATTAAGCTCCAGCAAATGCATACACACTTCTCTTTTTAATATGTCTATTAAGAAAGAAATCAGCCTTGCCACTGACATTATTTTTTGTACAGGAAATGATCAGAGTTGTATAATTTTAAAAGCATATGTTTATTTTGCAGTTAAATTATACAAGTGATTAGCGTTTAGCCTTCGAAATCAAGTTTCACTGTAACTATAATAATCACTGATTGCATATCTATTTCTACCAGACAACAGCATGATTTTTTTTAAAAATGAAACTATTTTTAATATTCTGATTACTTTAGAAGCCATTTTACCCAGATCTGTTTTCAGGTACTTCTGCTTATCTAGAAAAACTGTCTCTGTGCTTGAATGATGTAACTCTTATGAAAGGCAATCTTTTCCTCAAAGAAAGGGGTTTACAAGGGATTTCCCCAAACCTCTAGTTCCACATAGTACTATTAAGCCAGAAGTTTATCATTAAACTTCTTAAATATTGGTGAAGTTTTCAGTATAAGAAGCAATCATTCAGCGAGTGGATGTTTGTTTTTTGCTGCGGTTTAGTCCCTTGGATAACTTAAATTCTATTTATTTATTTATTTATTTATTATTTTTTTAAATATATTTTATTGATTTTTTACAGAGAGGAAGAGAGAGGGATAAAGAGTTAGAAACATTGATGAGAGAGAATCATTGATCAGCTGCCTCTTGCACACCCCCTACTGGGGATGTGCCCACAACCAAAGTACATGCCCTTGACCAGAATCGAACCTGGGATCCTTCAGTCTGTAGGCCCACGCTCTATCCACTGAGCCAAATGGGTTTCGGCTTAAATTGTTTTTAAATGTACCCTCACACATTACTCCCTGCCCACTCTTAAGTGGATGGGACAAGGAACATGGTATCTCAATTTGTTAATTAAATTTTGTATAGCTCTGTTACAGGAGAATGCTTCATATTCCAGTTGAGAAAAAGAAGTGGGTGAAAAATAGCAAAATACTGACAAAGAATTCTGTGACTCAGATAGGGCAGCTTTTCCTCCCACGAATAAACCTGTGGTTTGGAGTATCATTCAGTAAATAAACATGCTATTTGTTTAACCAAATTTCAGTTGAATTACCGTCAAACCATTTCCTCCACAGGAAACAGGTCTTTAATTTATGGAATAATAACTTCCTCTTGTTCTTCTAATACGAAATTCAAAAGCAGATGAATGCCTCTTAGTTTTCTACCTGTCTTCAGAGAATTGTGTGATCATCATGAAGGACAAGCAAATGGTACAGTCTGCTTGCCCCATGTCTGGTCAGGGGAGGCCTCCATGCTGCCATTTGGGGAAGAAACTGGGTAAAATGGCTTCTAAAGTACTCAGAATCTCTTTGTGTTCAGAGCTGCCCACTGCTTGATCCACTGCTTGATCCATGTTCTAATATGGCCTGCACATAGGGTGGTCAGTGTCCCTCTTGAGAGGGTCGGCCATGATGTTCTCTGCCCAACAGAGCAACAAAGGCAGAAGGAATTCTCTAGAGCAATTAATTATTCTTTCTCTCTTCAGAACATTTACAACCGAATATGGAGACCATTAGCCAGTCATCAATGGAAGAAGGTTGACTCCCAGAAAGACGCAGTAATTGGTGAAAGAAGAGAGAAAGCAACTGATTTCTAGCCCTGCCTTGAATTCTTTTATTTCTGCGTTTTTGGGTAATATTAACACGCACACATGTAATCTCAGTCATTTCAGTTACTTTCATTCCGAAGGTTTATGTAATTCCCAAACTAATGCTTTTTAAAAATTGGAACACTATCTGATTGACACGGAAACAAAAGATACATGACGAAAGATTGTATTGCGTGATGTCTGAGCAAAAGGGTCTGCACACGCTCTCATAGAAGACTTCCATGAGAGAGATTAGAGAGCAGCTCATTTGGACACCCAGGTAATGATTAAAATAATTTATTATTTTTGTAAAATCATTTAAAAAGACCTTCGGACGTGTGGGCACGAAGGGAAAAATAATAACCCCAGCAGGTAAAAATGAGTAAGTCTGCTGGAATCACACTTAGCGAGACAAGGAGGAAACACGGGAGGGTAGCTCAGGGACACTCGGTGAAGGTGAAGACGTGCTTTCTCTTCAGCAGCTATTCGCCTGGGAAACTCTTGCAGAGGTTACACGTGCGCTATTGTGGGACTTGGTCATGTAACCTATCTCATGGGGTGGGTGAATGAAAGAAACAGTTCATGTCATGACAATGAATAAAAAATGGAAGCATATTAAATATAGTTCTACATTTTGGTAAACCTTAATACAATTTCCAGGGACGGTTATTATGCCATTTAACAGAGAGGTCACACATGTTATGCCCTGGCTCTCGAGCCCTTACTTACCTTCACTGAAATTATTTTTGAAACTGTCTTTTTGAAGATGACCTAGACATGTGTGGTGAGATAGAGCGAATGCGTCGCAGTCTTCGCACCCAGTTGTGCCTCACCAGGCCCTGGCAAGGGCGTGGTAACTCCATTATTGAAGTGTGAGCTCCTTACAGGATATGTAGGTGCCGGGGACAAAGCAACCAGAAACCAGAGAAGGTCCAGGTAGACAACTCAGGACGGGTGTCATTGGCAACAGCATCAAGCCTAACAACAGAGATTTGAAGCTAACGTGACCCTGGTTCGAATAGGTCACTAGGTAAACCTGTTAGATTAGGGCAGAGGCAGCCTAATGTGGATTAGTATTACCTAAGGTGTTACAGGGAAAGAGCAATGAATGGTGGGACTGAGGCATTGGAAGCTGGAAGTAAGGCCAATTCTCCTTCAAAACAGGGGTACTAGAAGCTCCAGAAATGGGGACAGCAGAGGTGGGCCTCTACTCAGGGAGGTCAAAGATGATGCAGGCTTCCCTTTAAAATATCGCCCCCTCCCCTTCCTCAAATCTAATCTAAACAGGCCTGCAAATTTCAGTCACATTCTTCTTATTACTTTGCTAAGATAATAACAGAAAGATCGCAAGATTGCTCCCCAGCGGACTCCTGTGTCTCCCTGGAGGATACTTCATTTTATTTTCTACTCGAGAACTGTTCATAAATCACTCTGCAGCTGAGTCCAGTTCAGTGCCAGGGCACTTCGCTTCTCTGACCTTCACATTCATTCTTTTTCTTACACCAGCAGGAACTTGAGCTTTCCTTTCCCCCTTCCCTGCAGACCCAGTTCTCTCAGCATGCCAAAAGGGAAGCTTGTGTCACTTAGGAGTTCTCTCTAACCCTAAGTCCCATCGTATCAATAGATTTATGGAAACTCGTTTGTGTCCGAATGCTATGAGATGTCATTAAAATTCTGAGAAAAACTGAAAGTGAAATGAGGAAGGCTGGTTGAGCAATCAGCTGGAAGTGCGAATGCCAGGAAGACCTATTGCACGTAGAGGCAGAGATGCAGCCGTGCGGGGAGAAAAAAATTCAGGAGAATTCTCCTGAGGGCACGCGCCAAGCTGGCCGCTGTAGTCAACGTAGGACATCAACAAACACAGATAACAGGAAATGACCCATTCCCCGTGGTCACTCATTCTGAAGACCCAAACCTTCAAAGCCCAAGGAGTGAAATGAATGACTCCACAGAAGGGAAGCAGGCACGCCTCTCTCCTGGTCTTAAGAGAAGAGAAGAAATGAAACTGAAGGAGTATGTCCCCATCCTCCCCCAGAAGGAAAGCCCCTCCGCCCGGTTCTCTGGAGATGGCTTGCTGCTGGCCTTGACCTTGCTGCTGGCCCTGGTGTCCTGCTGCCTCACGGTGGTGTCCTTCTGCAGAGTGGCTGCCCTGCAAGTGGAGCTGAAGAGCCTCCGGGAGGAACTGCTGGAGCACCGAGCTGAACAGCTGCCAGGCCCTCCCCGGGCGGGAGCAGCGGCCCCCAGGCCAGCTGTGCAGGAAGCTCCAGCTGCCACCTCGGCCCTGAAAGTAAGTTTGAAGCAGCAGAGCTGAGTGAGGCCTGGGCACAGTCCTTCCCACGGTGCTGCCTCTCCTTCCTCAGATTATCTTTGCCATAACCTGTTTTTTTCTTGCTCTTAGGAGATCTTAGCACCACCAGCTGCACAAGAAAGCAACTTCAGTCGGAGCATCAGGAAGAGGCGTGCTGTTCAGGGTCCAGAGGAAACAGGTATGTCTGCGGCACAGAAGCCTTTGGGGGTCAGAGATCCCAGTCTCCTCAGGGGCAGAGGACAGTCCTGGTTTGGGAGAGCGAGAGGTTGACATAACCTAGAAACTGCAAACTTGAGCATCTACACCAGAGGTGACTTTCCAGCAAGCCCGAGCACCAGCAGGTTTAATAGGCTGCACCACATGTTCTGTCCAATGAGCAGCCTCTGTGCATGGAAGTATTTGAGGAGGAAAAGGGGCTCATATTTCTCATGAAAGAGTTCCCTCCTGTGTCAGAAGCATTGTCCATCACTCTGGAAAAAAGCATTTCATATTAGCGTCGAACCGGTGCGTGACTACCTGGGTCAGGGAGTGTCAGCTTAAGACAAACGTTTCCTGAGGGTGCGCTATGAAATCGAATGGAGCAGGTGTGTGTACTTTATTTTGTTTTGTGCTTAACAGAGTTTGTTTTATATGCACAGACACACTGATTTTAAAGCTTCTCTGCAATGTGTACATAACCGTGATTTCTACCTTCCTTCATGTTCCACTTGTTCCACAGAAGTTTAAAGACTCTGAAAATCTATAGATTTAGTGGGGCCTCCTAAAATGCTCATTTTAAAGATGAAGAACATTTGCATCGCATTTACTAATAACACAATTTAATAAACACTTGGCATTATTTGACTTTGTAGTGAGGAACATTTTTTTGAGCACCAAATTAAAACACTAAGGTATAAAAAATTATAGACTGAGGTGTCTATAGAATGTGCCAAGCAGGGATGTCCTAGGATAAGTATTGTCACACCTATCATTCTTTTCATCTTTTATCATCACAGTGGCTGTGAGAAAAACAGAACATGTGTAATTATTTATATATATTTGTACTTCTGAAGAGAAATGTGTGAAAAATATAGAGACTAGGTGTTCTCTCTCTCTCTCTCACACACACATGCACATACACACACACAATCGACGCTTTGATTGTAAATTTGTTTTTCACTAAAAGTCTTATTTCTAAAAAAATATTTTTATTTCATAAAACCATATTTATATCTGGTTATCATATATGTGTGCCAATTATCAGAAACAATTGGGTTTAAATATTTTTAAACTAGGAAATGTATTTATACTATACCTTGACACATCAGTTATTTTCATATTTTGCATTTTATCATTTGTATTTTCTACATAATTGAAAAAATACAGCATTTATAACATGGTATATATTTTTATTCACTTATCATTATATATTAAGCATTTCCCCAATTGCTGAGTAATTCTCACACACCTATGTTACCTTATTCATTATGCAGTTATTTAACAATCATTCCCCCTCCACACACACCCCCCCCTTTTTTTTTACTATAATGGAATACACCAAAATTTTTGTGCAAATTTCTTTTGTGTATCAGGAATTATATGTTCAACATAAATTCTACAGCTGGAATGTCTGAACTAGAAAGGATAAATATTTTTATTACTCTTGCTACCTTCTACCATATTGTTTGCAAAATGAGTTATAAATGCAATTATAGTGTAGTGTACAAGTTCTCCACAGTTTTATAGCATCTTATTTTTTAAATTTTATTTTGGCTTGTTTAGTACCTGTAAAACAGTATCTCAAATTTAATTTGTTGCTTGCTTACAAATAAGAATTAAATTCTTTCCACATATTTTGTTAATTTCTAATTTTATCTTCTGCTAATTGTTATTTGTTACTGCCCTCATTTGTCTCTTCTATTTTTTATAATTTTGAATAAACTCTATATTAGACATATTGTGAACCAAAATTTTTATGTAAATATTTTACAATATTTTGCTGCTTTTTAAAACTTGTATAGAGATTTTGAATTTGTATATTTTAATGTGATAAATGTTTTCTTTTGATTTTCTCTTATACATCAAAGCTAAAAACATTTGTTAGCAACTTCTTAAATAGTCTATTCTCTGCTGTTTTGGATTTTTTTTTTATAACTTATTGTTTTAATTTTCTGTTCAACTCATTAATCTTTCTGGAATTTACTTTGGTAGAATATGTCATACATGCTTTGACTTTCCCTTTCTTCTATGTTTTTCTTCCAAACTGCTGCTAAATATCTCAACCAAATTTATTAGATGATATTTTTTAATTTGTTTGTGGTGGAAAGCTTTCTTTATGACATTCAATTCCTCATAGGTAGCTGAGTGTTTTTGAAGACTCTTTTTCATTGATTTGCTAATCTGTTTATCTGTATTAAATAAAACATTTTAAGTAATTTTATAATGTAACTAGAGGCAAAGCACGCACGAAATTGTGCACGAGTAACCCTCTACACGGACACTGGGCGAGCTGTGAGCCCCGCCTTGCCGCATGAGCTATGGGCCCCAGAGTCCCACCCACTGGTGCTGTGGGACCCAGAACAGAGTCCAGCCAGCCGGTGCCATGGGACCCAGAGCAGAGTTCTGCCCACTGGCACCACTGTGGGACCCTCAGTGCACCTCCTGGTGACAGGTCTTTGGTCATTACAGTGTTACAACCACTGGGTTTTTATTATATAGATGAGCTTCACTACTAGTAGGATCAGGACACCTCAGTCACCTTTAACCTTATGTGCTAGTATTCCCTTGCTTCTACCTATTAGTTTTAAAAATAAACCTTAACTTTACCATTGCACAGACTCAGCAGACTTAAGGAGGAAAGAATAGAATAAGAAGTCAATAACCTCTTGAGTTTTACTCCCCAAAATATTCTCTATTAATATTTTAAAACTCCTCCATGTGCGTGTTTTTACAGATATGTGTTTTTATGGCACTAAAAATTATATACTGAAGAATAAAGTCCCCAAATAATTTGCAATTTTTTAAAAGCTTAGAGAATAACAAAATTCTAACCAAGTGAATCAAAATTACCCAGTTTTCACAGTCCAGATGTAATCATTGTTGTCATCATGTTTTGCTTCCAATTTTTATAAACCTTTAATATACTATATGGGAGTGGGCAAAACTAGGTTTATAGTTGTATGAAAAATAGTAGAATAAATAATAAACTATATTTCATGTACTCACACTGTAAACCTACTTCACCCACCTCTGCATATAGGATATACGTGTAGTATATAGTATATATATATAGATATATCATGCATCTATATATATTGTATATAGTTTATAACTCTATATATCTATATATCTTTACATCTTTCTCTGTATACTCATAACATTAATAATCTTAGATGGAAGGTTTGAAGATAAGAGGCTTAGTGACAGATACTATGTGTACTATATGCTATTCATTGTCAATGAAATCAGCTAGACTGTTGTTATAGGCACTGTCCTTTTGTTTCATACTACTCTAAAATGAATGTATATACCCAATAATGTTGTCTGAAACTCTGATTTTGTTGTTATTTGGTAGGATTTTCTGCACAATGAGAAAATTCTATGCAGATTGAGCCTATGCAGTTTTCCTCGTGTTTTGTTTGTTTGTTTGTTTGTATGTTTCCATTCTAGTTCTGATTTGTTTCCAGGAAGGCTCAAATCCTTTGGTTGTCCCTTTTATATTCAAAGTGTTCACTTATGTTCTTATTTATTACTTTCATATATACACTTTGGATCATTAATGTTGTATTGGAACTTAAAACTGAGGAGACACATGAATTTTTACACTGTTTAATTTATATATTCAGTAATGTTTAATATCTCTATTAAATACTGAATTTAACTTCTTAATAAGACATGTGTTTAAATGTAGGCTTCACTATTCTTTCAAAGTTAATTTAAAAAGGTTTTGTTGCTGTTCTGGAACCTAAGCATTTTCAAATAGCTTGTTGAACTGTTAAAAATGTACATCATTTTAAGTAAATGATATAGCATTTGATCTCATACTTGTTTGTAAGCCACAGCAATGTATTTATGGATTTATAGTTAACAGAATTATAATATTGTTATTTTTATTTAGAACTCTACTTTCTTCATATACTTCTCAATGACAATGTGCCATTATTTTTGTCAAAAAGGTTCTTAGCTAAATATTGCCAACTAATACACCAGAATGTTACCTATTCTTATTTTTTTTAAAATATATTTTATTGATTTTTTACAGAGAGGAAAAGAGAGGGATAGAGAGTTAGAAACATCGATGAGATAGAATCATCAATCAGTTGCCTCTTGCACACCCCCTACTGGGGATGTGCCCACAACCCAGGTACATGCCCTTGATCGGAATCGAACCCGGGACCTTTCAGTCCACAGGCTGACGCTCTATCCACTGAGCCAAACCGGTTTTGGCCCTATTCTTACTTTTGATAAATCCAACATAAATCTCATTAGCCACTGCAAGGTTATTGTTTATATATACAATTTATAAGTAAATTTTAGTGTGTTGGTCTAGAAAGCACAACCTTCCAAGCAGCAGCAAGCTTAGTATTGCCTCAGTTTTTGCTATGAATTACATATCATCTAGCAAAACTGTTATCTATTCATTTGTATATTCCTGTCTGTACAACTAAAGAGTAGAAAGGTGTGTAGTCTGGCTCCTTTTTCTTCTTCTGTATACTTATCATAGCACTTATATCTGTAGGTATTCTTTTAATATTTGTAGTTGGATTTGGGCCTCACTTTGAAATGAGATAGATTGATTTGGAATTATTTTGTTGGTGGGATTTTTCCATATTTCATTTAGAGACCAAGTTATTAAATTTTAAACTTGTTGTTTCAAGCAACTAGTTAACCAAAGAATGAGCCTGATCACAAGGCTAGAGTCATGGGAGAGTTGAGAACCACATGCCTCTGATCTTGGTGCACCCCATAGACACAATTTGAACTGAAAAGTCATAGAGAAGCTCCTATATTCACAACCTTTTTAACTAAAATTTCATGGATTAATGGTTTCATTTAATTTTTTTCCTTTTTATCGAAGTATTACTTACACCTGATATAGTGTTCATATTTCAAGAATACAGCTTGATGAGTATTCATAAACTGAGCAGTAGATGAAAGGACCACCATCATCCCACACTCCCACTTGCTACTACTTCCAGT